GGGCTGTTGTGCATAGGGTCATTATGAGTTGCAAACAACTTGATAGCACATAACAACAACAACAACAACATCACATTCTTTTTGGAAGAAATCAGAGAATGAGGAGTTAAGGCTGTTTTGTGTTCTTGGCACCTTCATCAGGTTAGAATTTGCCCCAGGGCAGCTCAGATCCGCAGGAAATGCTTCCAGGTGTGTTGTTGTGGAAGGGTCTTTGGTTCAGTGACAAATGCCCACATTCTTTCCTTTATGAGGACATTCACTTCCTCCTGTCTGAATTAGGAACAAAACAAGCCCTTTTGTTTGCTACCAAATTGTTCAAAAGACCTTGAACTCTGCAAATTCGCATTCCTTTGCCTCGCATTTTACTAGTGAGGTATTTGTGAATGAGCAAGAGCCTGGGAGTCCCTTGTTCCACTGCTTTTATTTCTGTGGGGTTCAGAGATGAAGCCGTAAACTCAGCTTGTCACCAGAAGCAGAGGTCTCCAATGGGCTGAGATGGGATTGAAATATTGGAAAGAAAGGATGACATTCCAAAGTCAGAACTAAAGAGCACCTCCTAACAAAAATCTATTTCTTTTCTATTTTATTGTCAGACCTGATGAGTATTTTATATTCTCTAGTTCATGCTCTTGCCTGAAGCCAAAGTTAAAAGATGCTATTAATAGGGATGGTGGCGAGGAAGCACTTCCCAAAGGTTCAGAATTTTTTTTTAAATAGATTCTGGACTGTGAAATGGAAAAAATAGACTTTGACTCAGAACAAAGAGAACTGTAGTATTGTCATTTTTACAGTAATTTATAATCAGAAAGATGTTATCTTTGAGAGATAAAGACCTGAACACCAAGAGTAGTGATGTGCTGGTAAACCAGTGGAGGCTGGAGAATGGGGAGGGTGAAAACTAATTGCAAGCTGCCACCAGGAGCTCTAGTGGCAAAAAGTTGCGCTGTAATCCAGCAGGTGCCCTGCGGGAGGAGGACAGGCAATTTTCCTCCATGCAATATACTGCTTCTGGTAACCCACTGTTGGAGGCTAGGATTTTGAAGCTGTAGCTCACTTATGTTGGGTACGTGGCCAGGAGAGACCCATCCTTTGAGAAGGACATCTTGCTTGGAAGGGTGGAGGCACAATGCAGGAGAGGAAGTCCCCAGATGAGATGGATTGACCCAATGACTGAGGCAATGAAGGTTGGTGTGTCGGAATTAGTGAGACTGGCTTGGGACAGTTTTAGAACTGCTGTACATAGGGTTGCTATGGGTTGCAGGCAATTCAATGGCACATAACAACAGCAGCAACAACAGATTTTGTAATGTGTTGAAAATGTGCTTACAGGGGCTGTAAGTAGACTCACTCTATCACCAACATTGGACTTGGAAGAAATCTTCTAGTTTTTCTTAAAACTCCAATATTTGACTTTCAGCAACAACAACAACAATGGACAAAATAGCATAATTGTCTCTCCTTTTCTGCAGTTTCATGGATGAAGATGAGACAGTCTGCTTCCATAGAGATTACAGACTTGGAAACCCTGTGGATTCTACTCTGTCCTATAGGGTTGCTATGAGTCAGACTTGACGTGAGGACAATATGCTTTTGTTTTGGTCTGTCCAGTTTAAGAAACTAGTCCTGGAAGCTCTGGTAGCATAAGGTGTTAAGTGTTGGGCTGCTAATTCAAAGGTTGGCCGTTCAAATTTACCAGCTGTTTATAGGAAAAAGATACAAACTGAGAAACTCAAGGGTCTCCATTAGTTGAAACCTGCTCCATGGCAGTAAATGGTATTTCTTGGAGAGGAAATACTTGACATGATTTTGATAATTTACTTCAGAATGTGATGGAGTCATTGTTATTTCTAGAGTGGGCTGTGAGAGAACTGGAGGAGCATATATAATAAGAGGAGATTATTGAGGGAGGCAAGACAATATGAAGAAAAGACTAGGCTATCTAAAAATAATTTATCCCTTTAAAAATTTTACCCCAAGAATAGCCCCAGGTCACTTAGTTATAGTTTTCTGTCTTTTAGTGTAATTAGAGTCCTATTGTTGTGTACCATTGAGTCAGAACTGACCCACAACTGACCCTCTGGCAGGTTTTCAGAGGCAGTTAATTACAGGAGAGGAGATTGCCCATCCTTCTCCCCCGGAGCAGCTGGTGGCCTCGAACCACGTGCCTTTGGGACTGCAATGCAGTTTCTTACCACTAGGCCACCACCAGAGCTCCAATTAGATTCCTAGGGAATGAAAAATCTTAATTTTGCAATTCAGAAATCTTAGAACAATCAGGACAAATCAAACCGAACATTTAATTCTGTGGTTGCAAAAATATTTTCCTGTGACTGGTCTTATTAGCAGATCATCATTATTGGGAGTTCTGCTGAGCAGGAGATTGAAGCCACATCCAGGCTTAGTTCTAGAGTGCTGTGATTGATTAGTGATATCTGCCTTGCTGTGCTGGAGGGTCAACTATGAGTCAGTTCTGACTTGACTTCAAGTAACAACAGTTTTGAAAAGAGCTACAGAATACAAGCGGAGGCAGTGATGATGTTGACACAAGACCATCAGATAAAATACATTACCTCTGGAGAAAGGAGATAATCAAGAATGCCTTCCTTCATGTTATTCAATGCTTCATTGGTCGGCACAAAAATGGTGTACGGTACGCCAACGCCATCCTCACTTAAGGCGTGTCCCACATTGGTCTTCTACATTAGACAAATGGAATTTTATTTTATCTAAAACCTGTCTTAGTGAGAGACTTAAAATAATCCCTCAGAAAGTTTTTAACATGGGCATCTCATATTCCACAATTCATGTCCACTTGATAGACATTGTTTTTCAGAAATTCATGAAGTACATACCTCTAGCAAAGATCTGAACTGGCTGTATTTTGGTTGTAGCATTGCCATTATGGTTTGCTAAAAACAGACATTTTATTTAAACATCAGTTGAGAAAAAAGGATGCCCTATGAAGTAAACCCCCAACATCAAAAGACTAGTGACAGTTCATGTATATGCATGTACATGTTTGTGTTTGCGTGTGTGTATCTGGAGACATTCAGTGCATTATAAAAAAGTTTGGTGCTGTTATTAGCAGTAGTTTGGCCTTGAATTTTCAAAAGTAGTATTTGGCTATCATTATATAAACCAGAAGCAATCCAGTGTAGCGTAGTAAGAATGATCCTTCTCCATAAATAATGATGAATACATTTTTCATGACAACTGGGGGGAACAGAGTTGTCAAATGTGACCATATGAGAGCCCACCAAAGGGATAAAGACATATTTTCCCTGAACGATGTGCCTTTCCTTTCTCTGGAGATGTACTTAGGATTGTATGCAAAGTGTACTTTCAATTATTCTATCTTCCATATGTTTGGGGCTCAAGTAAAAGGGTCACTGGCAGACTCTTCCTTGTTGACTTTCTAGGCACAGACACAGATGGAGCTGGGCTTACATCGCTTTTACCTGGAATGTCTTACCTCAGTGTTGTTCTCAAATGCGGGCTCTATCTTGTCCATCGCTTTGTCAATGATATGAAGGAGCCCATTAGAAGCAATTATGTTGCCCTGTATGATTTTTACTTTCTTTTTGCTGCCATAGAGTTTAAGTTTAAGTAGATTATCCTAAAACACCAAAGAAAGAGAGAAAATTAATGTCCTGCTCCAGAAAGAGTAGTTAACTAGGGAGTCCAAAGTCCAGGGTCAGTGAGTATGGTGTTATTGTCTATGTGAGGGACCTCTGTGGTTCATTACCCAAAATAAAACTGAAGGTATCCACTTGGTTGATGTCACAGGATTTTTATTAAGAGCAAATGAGATCATGTGTATGAAACTGATGATGCCAAAAAGTTAAGAACAAAAAAATTGATGATGCTTATCTCATGTCAGGGAGAACCCCAGTAGCACTTTGCCCGGGACATATCTGTTCATTCTTTGACAGTCCAAGGGATATTCAGCACTCTTCTCCAGCACCACAACTTAAAGGCATCAATTCTTCTTCTGTCATCCTGATTCATGTCCAGCTCTCTGATGCATAGCAGATGATTGAGAAGACCATCTAGCTAGATGAAGCGATTCCTTGGAAAGGGATATCATGCTTGGAGAGAAGAGGGTCAATGAATGAGAGGAAGATCCCAGATGAGATGAATTGACACTGTGACTTCAGAAGTGGGCTCAGCAGTGGGCTCTAGTGTGTCAGAGATGATAGGATGACAGGAATAGGCAGAGTTCAGGTCTGTTGTTCATATGAGTTGTACTCGACTCGACAGCACCTAACAACTACTACAACATCCTGTGTCAGAGATGACGAGGATGGCACAATAACATCCCATTTGAAATGTAGTTAAAACATTGTTATGATTATGATGTTCTTCTTAGATGCTGTTGAGTATGACTCATAGTGATCCTATGAACAGCAGATTTGAGCCCTGCCCTATCATCTGGCACCCTCACTATTCTCTGACACACTTGAGTTCGTTTCTGCAGTCACTGTGTCAAGTCTATCTTGTTGTGGGTCTTCCTCTCCTTCTCTGTCCCCGCATTTTTCCAAGCATGATGTCCTTAACCAAAGAATAACCTATCTTAGAAACATACCCAAAGCATGTGGGACAAAGCTGTCCCTTCCTTTCCCCCAAGGAAATCTCTGGTTGCACCTTCTCTAAGACGTATCTGTTTGTTCTTTTGGCAATCCGTGGAATATTCAGCACTGTTCTCAAACATCAAAGTTCAAAAGCATAAAATTTTCTTCTGTTTTCCTTAATAATTTTCCAGCTCTCAGATGCATAACAAATGACTGAAAATACTAAGGCCTGGATTAGGCACACCTTAGTCCTCAAACTAACATAATTTCTCTTCAAGAAATTGGAAAGTAAAAATTCCCAGAGTAATATGTCTCTTGATCTCCTGACTGCTGGTACCAAGTGCATTGGTTGTGAAACCAGGTAAGATGGAGTTGTTGACAGTTTGTCTTTTTTCCCTCTACCTTGATGTTGCTTATTGGTCCAGTGGTGAGAATTTTTGTTTTCTTGACATTGAGATGCAATCCATTTCCTTCAGTCACAGCCTTCACTGTGATTCAGATCCTCTTCACTTTCAGCAAGCAAGGTTGGGGCATCTGCATATCAAAGGTTATGGAAGAGTCTTCCTCCAATCCTGATACCAGCTTCTTCTTCATAGACTCCAGCTTCTTGAATAATTTGCTCAACATACAGATTGAAGAGGTAAGGAAAAAGGATACAACCCTGACATACACCTTTCTTTATTTCAAACCATGTAGTGTTTCCTTGCTGTTCTCACAACAGCTTCGTGGTCTAGGTCTAGGTTTCACATCAATACAATTAAATATTCTGGGATTCCCATTCTTCTCCATACTAATGATTCTAAGGACTGAAAATGTCATAAGAGTTGGATTATTTATTATAAATTCATCACCTACTTTAGTATCTTGAAAGAGAATGCAACATATTTATTGCATTGATAAATGAAGCCCATCATTTCTTACTCCTTAAGGCACCCGTATGTTTTAAACTGAACTCCTTGCCATTGAATCAGAACCACCTCATAGCTGACCCTCCACTGGGTCTCTGAGGCTGTAACTCACACGGGAGGAGATTGCTCATCTTTCTCAGAGCTGTTTGGTAGATTAGAATTCCTAGAGAGGTGCAGCTTTTAGGTGAACAGCATAGGACTGTACAGATGATGCCATTTGAGATCCCTTAGCATGGGATGCTGTTGTTGTTGTTGTTGTTGAGTACCATCAAGTCAGAACTGACCCATAGCTGACACTTCAGTGGGTTTTTCAGAAGCAGTTAATTGCATGCGAGGAGATTGCCCATCCTTCTTCCATGGAGCAGCTGGTGGATTTGAACCATGGGCCTTCAGGATTGCTGTGCAGATTCTTACCACTAGGCCACCTGAGAACCCATGGGATAGACATTACATATTTCACATTCATGATCTCTGTTGATTTAGGAAATACTTATTGAATATATGAATACATGTCCCTGTAAAGAAAGAAGTTATATCTTAATACCTACCAACTATTTACTCATCTCTCTGTCACTGTTTTTCTCTTTCCTCCTCCAACCTGCCTACAAAATTATTACCTACCTGCTTATCCACCCATTCATTCTCACAGGCACAACACAACATACTGATTAAGGATGAAGGCTTTGGATTCAGATAATTCAGTATCTAGAGTGTGACCTCTTGGTTTCAATACCTCTGGGATAACAACAGTACTTCCTTCAAAGGGTTGTGAGTTGTACATAACATAAGCAAAGACTTATCCCAGTATCTTCCTCCACAGAACACATACTCCATAACTGGAGGAAGCGGTGATATTTGGTGAAATGCTGTCATGTTGGTCATCGCTCCTATGCGCACCATCTGCCTCCAGCTCAGGAATGGGAGTACAATCACAAGAAGAGTTAGTTGTAACTATGGAGTTATAGAGTAGTTTTATTTGGGCACCCCCCCCCCCACTAAAATCACAATCAAAAGAGCGGTAAACTGGAGAGGGTGGGTAAGTCTATCTAAAACAAAAAGAATCCATCTCCTCTTGTTTAAAAAAATAAAAGAAAGAAAAGCTGATCCCCGCTTTATGCTAATGCTTCCAGGAAACAGATTTACAGGAAAGTTCCTCCTTTCTGCAGGCAGATAAATGATGGTTGAAAACAGATTCAAACCCAGACAAAAGACAAACACTTTATAACCTCCTTTACCAGTCACCCTGTTTCCTCCCTCTTCCTTTTAACTGGCTTGTTCCTACAAAGGAAACATGCTCTGGCAAACAAGAAACAAGGTAAGAAGCTCTTTGTAAACTTTCACAAGCCCCAAACACAGAGATACGGCTGTGGGCACAGGCTCTGTGAGCAGTTTAGTTCTAGGAGAGAGACAAAAACCTTTACCTTGTCACCGTTGAAGACTTCCCCTGACCTGCCCGTCAGAGTGTAAAATGTGTCTGTGTTATTCAAACGTGCCATGCTCATCTGCCCGGCAATTATGTGCAGCTTCACAAAGTATAGAGTAGCCTGGTGGTCCATCAAAAGCTCTTTGACCTAAGAGAAGAGAGCTGGTCAGTCTTGATCCCTGTTTGGAGGAGAAGGTGAGGTTTGTTTCTGCTGTGTTTGGGATCAAAGGCATCAAGGCTAGTGCAGAGTAGATTGGGCTGAGCTCTTGCTAATGCAGCTGTTTCTCCCAGGCCCCTGTACCCTGGGCGGATACTTAAAAGACTGGAGAGCTGAAGAGCTGGAGCGATGCAGTGTGCTTTCATCTGCAGGCACCAAGGAATCAGTCTTAAGTGCAAGGTGCAGATGGAATACAATAGGAAGTTATGTGAGAAAAGCTATGGACTGGACGACTGGTATATTTGAGTAGCAAAGCTAAGATTTTGAAAATCCACCAGACTAAAGTTCTGTATTTTATCACATTACCATAACTAATGGAGAAGGATGGGCAGTCTTCTCCTGTGCAATTAACTGCCTCTGAAAACGCACTGGAGGGTCAGCTATGGGTCAGTTCTGACTCTATGGTACACGACAACAACAACAATTATGCAGGCTCGTTTCATTAATTCTGCATTAATGCTTACAAAAATATCACTTGTGATGTAATGGGTAAGTATTTGGCCGCTAACTGAAAGGCTGGTGCTTCGAGCCCATCCACCGCTCTGCAGTAGAACGACCTGGGGATTTGATTCTGTGAAGATGACAGCCAAGGAAACAAGGACACAATTCTTCTCTGTCCCATGGGGCCCCTGTGAGTTAGAACTGATTGTGCAATGTGTCGCCTAAACAGCAACAAACTTAAAACGAACAAATACGTCTAGTGGCCATTGAATTGATTCCAACCAATGATGATCTTAAGCATGTCAGAGTAGAACGTGTTCCACAGGATGGCCAGTGGCTGATTTTTGCAGGTTGATGCCAGGTCTTTCTTCTGAGTCACTTCTGAGTGGACTTACACCTCCAACCTTTATGTTAGCAGTTCAGCACATTAACTGAGTGCACCACCTAGGGGAGTATGAACTTACACTACATAGTAATCAGTTGACCTCATGCAGAGGGTCTAACGAGAAGCCTTCAATGTTTGCTAGATCTTCTCCCCAGTGAGAGAGCAGTGAAGGCATCTCTGAAGATTAATGCGGCACAGATTAATCTCAGGCACATTAGTAATGGTGGCATTTTATATTAGAGCTAGGGCATTTGAATTTATTGGGTTTTGATACAATGCAGCAAAAATGACTCTTCCCACATATCTTGATTAAGAGAAATCCACTTAATACATCCTAATTATGTCTTGGAGCTACATTAAACCAAACATGATTATTTCACGGATAGCGCCATAGTCAGACAGGTCCACCAGATGGTGATTTTTCATTCCCACTGCTTGACATTATCTCCAACAACAGCTGCTCACACTGACTTAAAGTAACATTTAAAGACTAACACTTTCTTCTACCTTCCCTTGTGATTTCCATCTAGGATAATTTTAAGAAATGTACCCTAAATTGTGTATTCATTTGATGCTCACTATGGAAAATGGCAGTTTTGCATTCTGCAAACTTTTATTCCTAACACAATTATGGTAGGAACCCTTTATGTTTAGAAACCCTTCCTTGGAGAAAACTGTTTAAAAGAGATATGTGATTAGGTATTTCTGTCATGACAGGAGTCTAGAGCGATGGCTACATGGTGGAGTGGACCTGGGGGAGGGTTTG